ACATCTCGATGTCGAGATGATCGATCAAAGGGTTTTTCAACATTAAAACTACATTTTACATTTTTCGATGGATTTTTGAGGGGCATTCGTAGTTCTACATCATCCTTATATAAACTTTTTCAAAAATGTCAATAGTTCGTTTCTTAGGTGCATTTTGAATAAATTTTCCATCTTTTCAACGAATGCTGCATCGAATTGAAAGCTTGCCTAAATTGGGTGTTACTTGGTAATCTTAACTTCTATTAGAAGAGGAGTAATTTAAAAATGAATTAGGCTTGAAATATAGGAAAGGGGCTGGGGACATGGTGGTAGCACCCCCACATCTTAATCAGCAAGTTGTGGTTTTCATTCCTATGGACACCACTTCACTAATGCCTCCAAGATTGTGGATTGGCTCAAGGCCAGGATCGTAGCGGATTGGCTGAGGGCCAGGATCGTAGCAATTATGAAGGGACTTTCCCAAATTTAGGGTTTCTGGCATTTCTTTGACTGCGTCGGTTTGGGACACAAGGGGTCAAAAAATTTTGAACATTGGGAAAAAGATAGATTAGGAGTACATTGGTGATATATTTTTCTCCTAATAGTATTTTTAAACTGAAGCGAATTCGGTTGGACTTGCCCTAGTTAAACTCTACAAGGGACAAGTCTAAGTAGGAACAATAAACTTGGGTAGTTCCCATATTTTAGTACAATAGTTTGTACAGACTTGGTCGAGTCTCTAATAGAATCGGTCAAGTATGCACAGACACTTAGACTCAAGGTCCTAGCAATTCATGAGTCCCAAATCCTAGCCTTGTTTTCGAACTTTGGTTAAGCGTATTGTTTCATTCTGGCCTTCTAAAAACCCAATCTGGATTGTCGATCCAAATTGGTGAACCAATAAAATAGATGAGAATTGAGCAATCCAAAACACCTTATTCAAACTAGCCCAATTCTTTGACTAACGAGGCGAGTTCATCAAAATAAAAACCCATTTAGGATTATGAGTTAGAACCGAATGGATCCCCATCGTGCGTCCCGATCCAAATCAGAGATTCCGGATAGCAAAAAGTTTGAAACACTTGGGTGATGGGGACCAAAAAGAGGGATCTCATAAGGGGTAACGTAGGCGTATAAAGAAATGGAAAAGTTTAAATAAGGATGAAATTTGATTTAAGATGATGGGGGTTTTGGTCATCGTCGAAAACGCACCAAAAAAAGCTGTGTCAATTGTAA